CCTTGTATAGTTGAGGTTGTGGCCCGCCTCTGTACTTATATATACGTGCCTGGTGCACCGATCAATACATCGCGATTGTACAGCCCATAACTTGTCCTTCTACACTTCACTTGCTCGCCCCTGATCCAGAAAAGAAGAACGAAAGACAGAGAGAGAAGGGTTTAAGCCTTTAAGGCATGCATGGCGAGCTTTGGGCCATGCATGCATGGTTGTCCTCGTTCGTTCTATCGTCTCGCGTCGGCTACTTTCTTTGCTTACGAGTGACCATATGCTGTTGCTTAGGATATCCACAGCAGAGCGAGGATGCAGATTCGATCTTGTCTTTTTTTACTACTCCCTCCGTCCCATAATATAAGAACGTTTTCGACACTTAGCAGTTTTGAAGTACCTTGAGAATTTTTGGCTGACACTTTTTCGTCTTGACGTTTTTAGTTTGCGACTTTATGTGTACCTTGCTGCATCTAAGTAATCTTTTGTGCTGATCAGATTGCTGCAACTTGCGCTCAATCTTGTACCAAGTTTTTGACAGCAGCAGCAATTTTTTTGCAGCACTTTTTACAAGTTTGAAGACTAAGGACGTATCTTACTCGATCCTACTGCAAGCCGGCTCTTCGAGAACAGATGGACCCCAGAACAGGTAGGAAATTATAGTGTCATTTATCGTTTTGTTTTGGTTCAACCGGAACCACTTCATGAAAACAAAACGGCGAATTTTCTCTGAGCAGTGACATTTAGTTTTCTTGCACCCACTTCTGCTCATAGTTGTGCAGGAACTATCTTTATTTTTTTCGGGCACATGAGCTTGAACTTGGTGCCTTTCTTCATTATTATGTTAAACTGGGCATTATGCAGATTTTTGGTTTTTTACTTGAAGATTTTATTGGATCAATTATGTATTTTTTTATGAGTGGTACATGTGCTTTTATTTGAAACTTTTTGCTCTGGGGATTTTTAGCTTACCACTTAATGTGTACCCTTGCTGCATCTAAGTACTTGTTTTATGCTGATCTTCCTGATCAGATGGCTGCAAAGTTGGCCCCGAACTTAAACCAACTTTTCAACAGCAGCAGTTTTTTGTACTTCTAGGAAGTAAACCTCCCCGGACCCATCCTTTGATAAGAAAAAAGAGGCCAATGGCCTACAAAAGATTCAGTTTATACAAACATCAAAAATCAGAATCAACTAAGGGAAACAGCAGATTTTTTACAACACTTTTTACCAAGTTTGAATACTAATCAGGGTGGTGTACTGCTACTGCAGGCCGGCTCTTCAAAAACAGATCAACGCCACCACAAGTACGGAATTATACAATCATTTATCTTTTGTTTTGGTTTAACTGAAATGACTTCATGAAAATGAAATGGCAGAAATTTTCTGTGACAAGTAACAATGTAACATTCAGTAACGGTTACCTTACATCCTATTCTCTTTATGTCTGTACAGAAATTATGTTTGTTTTTTCGAGCACATGTATGTTAAACTGAGAATGGGCTTATAGGCCATCCCTTTGATCATCCATTGTAGTAATTTCGTTAACTAAAAATGTGCCTAGCTAGCCACTTATTCCCAGTTCCCCACTAGGACAGAAATGAACATGTGCATGTAAATCATTAGGAAACTGCTGCTACTATTCTCTGCAGCTAAAAATCGACGAGCTGCAATCAGTATTGCCGACATCTTAGTCAGATGAACTCTCAATTTTCTTCTGCTGCTAGCTTGTTTAGCTGACTGAGATCGGTGTTATATGCTACTTTTTTAACTTGTGAATTATATGCGTCTCTTGATACATGTATGTATTGCTTTCGGGGGTGATTTCTGCTACTGTGTATTGCAGTTGGTCTGTTCTTGACCTGGCCTACATGTGATCTCACAAGCTATTGCTGCTAACTAATTAACTGCTTCATTGCATATTGCTTCTTTTGATAAGAAATGTTTGTTCAACTTGTATGCTCACAGAGTGCATATTTCGATAACTTACATTTTCAACACTGTTGGCTGAAATTAGTATAATTTCCCCCATATATATGATGTTGGAATTCTTGTGGGTGTCCATATACAAGAAAATTATTACTATCTTTCAGTATGCTCGTATTCATCTTCTTAAGTAGCCAAGTTCTTTAGGATTATCAATCCTCTTATTTGTGACTATATGCTCACTGTATGTTCCTTCCTCACAAGTGAGATGTCTCTTGTAACTAAATTTTGTGGGAGCATATTTGCAGGCCTAGTGTATTCTATAGTGAAATGGTTAAGTTTGCCACTGAAGTGTTAGGAATGACCATTATGATGCTTCAAACTGTGTATTCAGAATTTCAGATATATTTACTTTTGTTGTGGTGTGAGTTAATTCCAACTTTTAAGAAGGACAGATGCAGCCACTTTTTTTCTGTAGTATATGGTTTTTATTACTTCATATAACAAGTTTATGGTCCATGGACAAATCGCTACAAAAATATCTTCAACATGTCCAGAGGGAGTTTTGTATAAAATCAACTTTCTAAGTTCAACCTAAACGACTACAAGAAAACAAATGGGTGAATTTTCTGTGACTTGTAAGATTTACAAGCTTTCTTACGTCCTTTTTCGGTTTGTATAGTGTATGAGAAATTTTCTGTACTTTTATTAGCACATATGGTTGTTTCAATATATGATAAACTGAATATGACATTTACGGTTATATTTTATCATTATATTGATATTTATTCCTAGCCACTTGATGTGATCTTGCTTGAAAAGATTGCATATTATGATCTATCATGAGTGAAATTTAAACATATTTTCTCCTTGCGGGTGCAGCTATAAATCGGCAGTTCAAAGATAAGGCGCAATGGCAGGGAACAGAGGAAAAGGGATAGTTGAAGAAGCTGCACCCATCCTTGACGTAGGTGTTACTAGCTACCTCTACTGAAATATGCATGCCTTCTTATCATAAGCACTCCGTCTTAGTACAAAAATGTGTGTAGATCTTAAGAGACAATATTCCCCATGGCTGCCTTCATTAGTTACTTTGATGATAATCAAATGTGCATGGTGCACCATATGAAAAACACAATATCTTCTGTATAGATGTAATTATTCTAAATCATGTTTCATTGTGTATACAGAATATCCCTTCTCCGGTTGCCACCTTTAAGATGGGAAACATACACAAGCTCTCTCAGAACTACGAGAAGTGTGTGAAGGATATTAGAGCTGCTATGGATACCACCGATGTGAAGTTTACAATTGTTGATGGTGGAAAGGAGACAACTGTTCCTGTCACTCCGGGCGAAGATAACACAAGCCGTGGGGTATATGTGATTAAAATCACAGATGGCCAGTACAACCTCTCTCTGGTGGGTACTAAATGCCAGGCTTGGTTCAGGGGGATTGTTACTAACAATGGAGGCAGATATGAGATTGACAAGATGCCAACCAAGATGATGAAGGGCTCTACATCACTTCATACCGATGGACAGTATCCACATTTGCTGTCTGGTGGAGATAAAGTTGAAGCACTAAAGGTGGGATTTCATCGATTGCTCCATGCCTTCCCTGCTTTGGCTACTCTTGGGAAGGATGAGAACACAGAGGTCACGTCCGAGCATAAGGAGGCTTTGGCTGAGCTAATTGTCATGTTCTTCGAAGGGCCACGTTTCCCTGATGTGGAAAATTTGGTGAAGCGCCTACTGACCCGTATGGAGGACGGTGTGGTTGGGGAATCGAATGGAAAACTGATAACTAGCTGGTGTGAAACCAGCAAAAAATTTTACGATGCAACTAAGAATGATAGAAGAATTGTCATCTCACATGAGACCTCGGAGGTGGTGAAGAAGGTTAAAAATGGTTTCCGAATCTTGTGCCGGACAATGTGGGATAAATCCTTGGCTGGACAGGGAGGCACCACAGGAAGCAGCAAAGGCAGAGCCAGCAGCAGCAAAAGCAAGTGAAGAAGCAAAAGCAAGAAATGAAGAACTGAAGGGTTAGTAACTCACTAATCAGTCCGCTCGTTGTATGAAATGGACTCTACTGCTAGCACTATTTCCATTACTATGCTTCATTACTTAGTGAAGATTGCAGTGAACCACTCTATGTATTGTCTACTACTCGGTTGATATTCTGTACGATTAATATCCTGCAGTTAGTTTGTGTGTTCACTTGACGTTCTCTTTTGCACGAGCTAACTAAATGCACATGTTATATGTACGAGTTTTGCTTATGTCCATATTCTTCTTCTTCACATGATGCACAAAATGTTTAAATTTGATGGTACATAAGATAAAATATTGTAAACAGAATAATATAAGATGCAGCGTACATGGCAGATTCTTCCGGTCCTCAGTGTTCCAAGTCATGTAAACTCTCAACAGCCTTCCAGGTAACCTTGACAGAAATTTTTGTGGAATCATGAAGATACACCATTTCATGCACTGTTCCATGATACCCCGAACCAAATCGACCTTCCCACATACAACACGGCAGCTCTTGAGAAAAACCACCATCTTTCGGGGATCCTTCGATACAAAGAATAAGGTAACTGTATCTCATCACTCCTACGACCGAACTCATTCTGCAACCTGATTCTGTAACTCCAGAAAGGAGGCGGATCACATCTCTGAAGCCACTCGTCTTCGCATAAAGATTCAGATTAAGGCCATTGACAGGAGCATGAAGTATCTCAACATCAACTTTTGCTTGAACTGCATTCCACAACACCAGAAACTTCATATCCAATCCACACTTTTCCCCATACAGACGCCGAGTTTCGATGAATGGTCTTGTTTTGTGCATGTTCATAAACTCAGTAAACTCGGTACATCCTTCAATCAGAAGGTCATCTTTTGGCCCATCTTCTGGCTGGTCATCAGTCCGTACAGAAAGCTTGAATTCAAACAACACACGGCTTCCCATGTGAATACATCGAGCAGGGCTAGTCAGCGATAAATGTGCAATGCCCTACATTAAGGATCAACAAGCATTACATCATATAAATAGTTCATACTCATTAGTTACTAGGAATTGATGGCATATCATCACCACATGTGCATGAATAGAAAAAAGACAAGTGTTCTGTTTAATAGTGATCATCTGACTTTGAAAGTTGCCCAGTGAATGAAAGATAAATTTGAGCTTGCACATTAAAGAAGAGTTTGAATGATGCCCAAAAATACAGATTATTAATATCTTGTGTCATTGATTAACATGTGTTGTGTGCTATGGTTCGGGAGAGGCTCTTGCACTTGGGGCAAGATAGAAAAATTAATCATCCAATTCTTGCTTGCTTTACTCCTTATAGAGGGTCCTCTTTGTATAGAGGTCCTACAATACAATATAGGTAACAAATCATAGATCATATGTCTTAACTGGCTGAATGCCCAAGCTAAAAGATACCTTCCTAATTTAAAATAAAAACTTCGAAACAAAGTGATCACAAGGATCCTCTACCGAACTTGGTGCTGGATGAGCCATGTACTAAACGTACAAATAAAACATGCATAGCACAAACTTGCAAGAACACCGACTAAATCTGGTGTGATAAAGAAAAGCGTGCAGGTAGAAAGATGCAAGTTTGCGGAACTACCGTATCCCGCTTCACATTTACAGCTTCATAATTGTCAATCCCACGCCTGTACACATAGTTGCGCAAAGGTTCACCATTCTCACGTACTGCGAAAAAACCAAATATATTGGCACATCCAGGTTGGACGTGGCGATAACCAGCAGTTTTGAGATCAATGAACTGCAGCACGCCGCTCGGTACACAATGGCAACCGTGTGAGCAATCAATGGCCCTAACATTGTTGTTCACGTTGACTGAGAAAACAATAAGGGAAGCATGTGACATATAAGAGATTTCAAATTAGTAAGAATATGCTCATATGACGTATGGCCACAACTGAAATTAATCAGAGATTTCAAATTAGTAAGAGTATGCCAGAACTGAAATTAATCATTTTTTTATAAAAATATATATACCTTCAGACTCATCATAGAGTTGATATTGGCTACCGAAGAAATGCTTGTGTTTTTCAACAAGGGGATTGTTGAATGCCCGGAAAAGAAACGTTGCCGAAGGGCCTCGAAGTTGAATATCAGGATTTTGGAACACAGCATCAGATTGCTCATCAAACTCACTACTAACCCTTGGGAAATCATCAACGGTAAAAGGTTGGTATTTCTCTGCATGAAAAAACATTAAAATAATCAAGTCAATAGAACAAAATGAAGGATATTACTTTTTTCTTCTTCTAGAATACGCATGAGCATCGATATATTCATAGAAGAAGGATCTTAAGTTTAGACCAAGTAGAAGCACCAACTATTATTGATACGGGATATAGCACAAGTTGGTTTAAAATCCCTTGATGAATCACTTGAGAAAGCTTATCTGTTAAACCAACTGCAAGCTACATGGCTGTATACATGCATAGGAATCTATGTTTCTCAAGACAAAGATGCCTATATTACAAACATGGTCACCGCGTGTATGATCCGGAAGGAACTGCACTATGGTTCAATTCAGGAAACTTAAACCAAGTTAGGAAAAAAAGTACCAATCTCAACTAATCTAACGTAGTAACTGCTCCGGTGAAATAGCCAGCTAATTTCAAGTCACTTGAAAGTTTCTTGGATCAAGGACTGATTTACTCTGTATTGGCTATGTGACTCTGCCGTGTGGCTTTATTTATAAAGTCGGACTTAGGCCTTTTTCGTAAATAAAAAAGGACTGATTTACTCGGGAATCAAATTGCATCAGGATACACATGTATTCAGGGATCAAATTGCGTCATCAGGATACACATGGAGCCTCACCTAGGTCTTCATCCTCGTCTTCGTCATCAATGACAGCCTGATGGTCGTCGTCCTCAATGCTGGCGGTAGACATGGCCGAGTCTACGCCGTCGCTCGGAGGAGTTGAGGGGGAAGGTGGCCTCTTCATTTCCGTCTCCGATTCGCCTCCGCTGGACATCGATGCCGCCGCCGCCGCCAGCGAGAGGAAGAGAAAGCAAGGTACGAGTTCGATTGGTGGATCAGGTTGTCAGAGACATATGCGCTTTCTTGTCTCGGAAATTCTAACAGGCTGGAGCTGGCCCAATTCCTCTGAGGCCACTCTGGGTGCCTCGCCAGATCCAGGTCACGGCGTGCCTTGCCCCCTACATCCATCGTCCAAATCAATCCTATGGCCAAGCGAGTCAGCATGTAGACGGAGGAAAACTGCGTGGGCTGAGGAAACAGGGAAACAGAGGCGCTTCGCGGGCGGAGCTCTGTCGGACTGAGAGGAGTGAAATGTAAAAAACCATCACATTGAAGCATAGGTTTGCAGAAAATATTGGTTTACGAATTTCTATCAAACCACTAAATTTTGGCCTAATCTTTTGCAAAAAATAATAGTCGGCGGCTTTGGCTCATTTGCTAATGTATATCTATCTATATCTATATCTATACCTACTATTAAAGGGAATAGGTATTTTTGGTTTGGTTTAGTCCTTTTCATTTAGTTTATACACGCTAAGCAATTTGGGCCATGTATTTGTATGTCGATGGGCCTTTTATGGGCTTTTGTTTGGTTAAACACGTGACCTCCTGTCTAGCTCTTTGATGTAACAACCAACGACCTATGCGCCTTTCACATTTACTAATGCCAACTCCCTCTAAATATACGAGTGACAGTCATCATGTTTAGGGCGAGCTAATTAAGCGAATGAGCTAATAAAAGACGGATTGTGGGTTTAAATAGAAAATTCAAACGGATGTGGCTAATTAAAGAAAGGATATGGGTAAACCGGTGGAATAACTAAAAGAATGATTGTGGTCTTAATAAATTCTACATGAAGGATTTGAGGTAAAAAGGTAGGATAATTAAAAAGAAGGATCTGGAGGCTTTAATGTGTTGGGCCTACTAAATTAGAAAATGAAGGATTTGATTCCCGACTAAAACGGTGAGGACATCATGGTAATTAATGAAATGATTATAATTAAATGCCATTAAGAAAGAATTTTACTTAAATAGAATCAATGTGAGATTATGCCCGGCAAAGAAGAACACGGTTAAACTGCAACAAATTCTTTTATGTTCATTTTGTAGAAGGATGCTAGTTGCGGCATGTTCTTCATAATGAATCCGGTATTATGAGACATTATGCTTGCAGCTAATAAAAGAAGGATTGTGGGCTTAAATAGAAAATTCAAATGGATGTGGCTAATTAAAGAAAGGATATGGGTAAACCGGTGGAATAACTAAAAGAAAGATTGTGGTCTTAATAAATTCTACATGAAGGATTTGAGGTAAAAAAGTAGGATAATTAAAAAGAAGGATCTGGAGGCTTTAATGTGTTGAGCCTACTAAATTAGAAAATGAAGGATTTGATTCCCGACTAAAACAGTAAGGACATCATGATAATTAATGAGATGATTATAATTAAATGACATTAAAAAGGATTTTACTTAAATGGAATCAATGTGAGATTATGCCCGGCAAAGAAGAACACGGCTAAACTGCAACGAATTCTTTTATGTTCATTTTGTAGAAGGATGCTAGTTGCGGCATGTTCTTCATAATGAATCCGGTATTATGGGACATTATGCTTCCACAAAACTTCTATTTTTCCCGTTGCAACGCACGGGTATATGTGCTAGTGATTATGACAGATGAAGCGCACCATTTGCTGATGTGGACTAACAGTCCACAATAAACGACGTTAGAGAGGTCTTTTGCCAAAAATACCTCCCCTCTCTGAAAAAATTACCTTAAAAAAAGTCAACCACCAGAAAGCGTTCGCCCGTCCGAGCTGCGGCCCACGCGACCTGATTCCTCTGTCCCCATCGGAGGCGGTGGTGGCGCAGCAGCGGTGGGCGCTGCCTTCGCGGCGAGGGTGTAGCTGAGGGGCGGCTCTCCGGTCGGCGACCTGTGCCTGTGGACGCGAGGAGGGGGAGATGGGCCCGGGACGTCGGGGACGCGCGCGGCAGCAGCGACCGCGAGTCCGACAACCCCTCCGACCTCGCCACCTCGCCCTTCTCCATCCTCCCTCCTCACTCTTTTCCGAGCCGGTGCCGCGCATCCCGGCTTCCCCTCCCCTTCTCCTTCCTTCCTCTGTTTTTCACAAGCAAGCCTCGCGTAGCACGGGCAGGAGCAGCACGGGCAAGCAGCGGTGCGGCCTCGCATCCTCGTACAGCACGGGCACGAAGCAAGCAGCGGCCTCGCGCAGCACGGGCACGAGCAGCGGTGTCGACGCACATCACTGGAGCAAGAAGCGGCGCGGCGGCGCACAACACGGGCACAAGCATCAACAGCGGCATGCAGCCCCGGAGCAAGCAGCGGCATAGCCGCACGCAACATTGCCGCGACCATACACTGTGAGCTCCGCCGTTGCCGGTGCGTGGCGTGGGCGGCAGCCCAAGAGCGCGCGGTGGCTGGCGGCAGGCTACAGCCGAGTTGGGCATGGCAAGGGCTTGATTGCATTTTGTTTTATGATTGAAGGGTGCCTATGCAAAAATACTAGGGACAATTTGGTAATTGTCTAACGCCAATTGAGACCAACGGTTACGCCATGTCAGCTTTTGTCGGCCCCGCATGTCATAATCAAGGTTAAAATGGCCAAAGCTACTGATTAGTGTTTTTTGCAAAAGATTAGACCGAGAATCAGTGGTTTCCGGCGGAAATTCATAAACCGGTGTTTTCTGCAAACCTAGGCTCTAATGTGGTGGTTTTCTACAATTCACTCGGACTGAGAGCCCAATAGTCGTCATCCTCGATGCTGGCGATAGACTTGGCCGAGCCCACGCCATCGCTCGGTGGAGTTGAGGGGGAAGGAGTCGCCTTCACCTCCTTGTGAACCTCCATGACGCCGCCGCCATCACCGCCAGCCAGAGGAAGCGAAAGCAAGGTACGCGTTCGGCTGATGGATGAGGCCGTCGGAGAAACATAGGAATTTCGCAACAACGACAAAAAGACACAGGACATTCTAACCAGCTTGGCGCATGCCAACTCGTCTCCAGCTACTTTTGGTCTCGAGGATTTTGAAAGAATGTCGTAGAATTTTAGTTTATAGAAAATTTAATGGAAATATTAAAAAGATTTTTAGGCACGAAAATCAAACATTTTTCATGGCAGTTTATGTTAGCATATGGTTCACAAATTTAGTTGGCGAGCACAACAATTTTCTATAAAAATAAGTAAACTGGTCTGAATTTGCCATGATCGTCAACTAAACTTGTCATCCTCGGCAAACATAAATTTCCATCAAAACATTTGATTTGCCATGCCTAAAAATCTGACGTTCGCTCGATATTCATATATTCCGGTCCAATTTTAATCTATAGTTAGGCCCATCAGCCGGCACTTTTCACCTATGGTTATTTTTGGTCCCTAGTTTTTGATGATTGGTCGCCAGGGAGATGCTTTCATCGAACGATTTCGTCCACCCAAGAGGAGCAGCTGTGAGTGAACGTTTTACCTTGTTCGTTAGAGGGCGGGATGGTGCAAACCCTCGATTGGACCAAAAGGCCGAGATAACAGTTTCCATATTCAAAAAATGGCACGAACAAAAAACATAAACATTCCTTGTTGGGAATTGGGATAATTCTTGAAGTTCTCCTCATGTCCGCCCCAGCTTGAAGCTGTCACACACCTAGAGGGCTCCTGGGTGTCTAAGAGCGTGGCGGCATCCTTCAGCCCCATGCGGGTGGCGTCAGTACGCGCATCCACCAACCGAAGATGGTATGACCGTGTGTAATTTATCTATGATGGTCAGTAAGTGCATCTAGTGCCCCTCAGCGATTTTCGTGTATTTAAGACTTACAGGTTAAGGAACAAATATGTTTGTGAATGTACACAGGCTCTATAAGTCAATGAGGAGTTTAATATTTATGATGAAAGTCGACCCTTATAAATGTATGTCTTCAACTGAAGACTTTGGTTCTCCTGAAGATTTTGAAAGTGAAGAAATTGGTGTGACCTTGAAGACTTGGATATTCATGCGAGGATTGTGAAGCGTGAAGACTTTTGTTTTCATAGTTTCATTTTCTCTTTGTTGAGTTATAGGAAACACCGTACTATTAAAGGTGGTCGAGGTAATACTAAGGAAACTGATTTTCAAGTGATGCTCATCTCAAAATCCTACACCTACACAATCCTTTTGAGTGAAGCAATTGGAAATCTCATACCAGTTCAGTCAATTTCTTCAGTGACAGAGATAAAGATCTTCTGGTCTCTGAGGAATTTGTTCTGACTGAGGAGTTAAGAATTCGCCAGTGCGAATTGCATACACAGTGAGGAACATGATAGCCCTGAGGAATTTGAACCTCATATTTCTGACCGTTGTTGTGCTACGCGCGAGCTGTTCAAAATATCTACCCACCTAACGGTCATATTATTGAAGGGCATTTATGTCTTATCATGTCGGTCTGCTCCCTAGGCTATAAATAGTCGCCCCCTACAACCACTAGCTGGTTGGCTGCTCCGAGAGAAACTGACACTTGTCATTGAGAGCATCCCATCCTTCGAGGACTTTGAGCGAAAATCATCAAGTGAGGAAAAACCCAAAACCCAAACCCAGACACCTACAAACCCAAAGTGATTGAGCATCACTGAAGAGATTATTCTTGTGTGGAACCGATGCTTGTTACCTTTGAGGACTGTGTATCCTCCAGACGATTAGGCGTCATGGTCTGAGCATCCAAGAGAAATTGTGGATCGCCAAGTGACCAAGTCTGTGAAGGTTTGGAAGTCACCTGAAGACTTACCATGAGTGTTGGGCGAGGTCTGTGTGACTTTAGCTCAAGGAGAATACGTGAGGACTGTGTGTCCGGGACTATGTGTCCTCAGGTTTAAATACCTAGCCGCTCCAACCAGACGTACAACTGTCGCAGCAGTTGGAACTGGTCTAC